CTCATAAACAGTTTTAAAATTCTTCTTTTCTTATTTCTAAGAACTTTTCTTTCTCGAATCACTTATAAATATATTTCCTCCAACCATATTCATTAAATACAACAGTTTCTCAGAAAATCATAAAGCATTTCTAAATTCTCAGAACATTCATAAATTCTCAAAAACATTTCTATTCTTAGCGAACTCAATTTCTCAGCAGAAATGATCAAACGTAATATATATTTTCTTGAAGTTCTATAATAAATATCTTAAAATATTTAATAAAATAACCACTCACAAATCCTAGGAACAAGGTGAATTTGGATTGTACGCTGCTCCAATTTATGTTCGTCCTCAAATAATAACCAACCAAGTTTCAATACATACTTAATTCCAATCTAAAACTACAATTCTTTTAAACCCACAATATTCAATCAACACCCTCACTCTCTCTTTACAATCCAATTATACTTCTTTCTCTCTCATATTCCTTGTGAGTGGGACCCACATCCCATTTTCTTCACTTTTCAAATCCCTCACGTGAGTTTCCATGCTCCAACCATTTTTTTTCTTTGTTTAACCTCAACACATAAATTCTCTCTCTCTCTCCTCTAACCACTATTCACCTCCTTCCTTCCTTCAACACCAATAAATCAAGACTCTCTTGACCCCTTCATTTCCTCTTCTTTCTTTTTTTTTCTGCAGATTCTACCAACCCATATATGTTACCAAAAACACATAAACTGAAGCTAAACTCATCAATACATATATTCATGGAAATCAGAAATCCAAGTTGTCTATCTATTTCAAGAGATTCTTAGGCATAACAAAGAACCCATAAACTATTTCTTCAACCTCTATATCTTCCCAAATCTACAAATGAACAACTTTCATTACCACTTTTGATTAACTGCTACTGTTGGTTCTTCAATTCGATTTCAAAATCACCATCAACTTTTTCCTCTTTTCCTCTGTTTCGATTTCAATCGGCCAATGATCCCTTTTGTTTTTCTTTTTCCTTTTCGTTTCCTTTCTTTTCCTTTTCTTTCATTTTCTTCTTTTTTTTTCCCTATCACCACGTGTCCACTCACACAACATAGATGTGCACCCCATTTTTCAATTTCCTAATTTTTTTAAAACACAAATACTGAAATTAGTTTTTTCTTTTCTTTTTTAGCTCAAAATTACGAAAAATTCCCTTACACTTTAGCTCCCAGCAACTCGAGGTATCATGACCGTGATGCGATGAAAACAACAATAATTGTCCTTGTTGCATTTTTCTAGGTCTTCTCTAAGTTTTTCAGGGTGCTTGAGGAGCTTCTACATCATTGTCTCTTCGATGTTTGTGAGGATCTCAAAGATAGGAATGGTTATGGGAGTGTATCGCTTGTAAGGCCCTCTTCGGCTAGAGACCGAATCCCACCTTCGATAGTCAGATCGGCCCTGGGAGGGTTGAGAGGATGATCTCTTGTCCTTAGACTTGGAATCAGACTTCCATTTGTCCTTATTACTGAACTTCTTCTGGTCGGATCTTTTTTCTGTCYGAACTGTTTTTGTTCTGAGCAGCTCTTGCCCACAAATCACCTTTTTGGCCTTCTCCAAGACTTCAGCAAATGTGGAAGGCGCTTCTTCTCCCAGCTTGACCGTCAGTGTCTCATCGGCAAGGCCGGTGAGGAAGTAACACATGGCAGAATCATCTGAATAGTGCGTGACCTTGAGCTGCTCCTCTTGGAATCTGGTCACGTACTCCCTGAGTGTCTCCCCATCCTTATGTCGAATGGTGGCGAGGTGAGTGTCTCTCTTCCTGTCATAATATCGATAAGATAATTGACTTATAAATTCTTTCCTCCGCTGAGTATAGGTCGAGATCGACCTCGCTGGCAGCCTTTTATACCAAAGTTGAGCACATCCGATTGAGGCGATCTGAAATGCTCGACAATTGATGGCGTTTGATGCCGCCTGAAAATCCATGAGGCCCTCGAAGACCTCAACATAGTCCTTTGGATCCTTGGACCCATCGTAAGACTTCATGGCATGCGTTTTGAACTTAGGAGGGATAGATGCCTCCAAGTGAACGGTGATTCACCCATCTCGCCATCATCGAACAGATTCTATTTGTTCTCATACTTAGCCTTAAGTGCCTCAACCTGTTTGTCAAATTTGTTCTTCATCAGGTCGAACTCTTCCCTTGTGATCTCCTCTTCGGGTGTCAATGGATTATAATGAGATTGAGCTTCAAAATTCGAATTTGAGTTCTTCCATGAACAAGAAGGAGAGACACCCGCACCGCATACGGTAAAGTTCTTCTTCTTATTAGCAAGGACTTTCCTCATATTGTCCTCTTGCCGACTGTAATCAACCCCTCCGTTGTCGCAAACGCGTGCGTCGTCATCAAAGGGGAGAGGTGGATCTTGGTCATCACCATCGTGATGCAGGTCCTTAGCTCCGCCCTAGGCCTTGGATTAAGACCCAATTCGGTTCGCCTGCATCAGTTCGTTATAAGTTTTTTCCATTGTGCGCACTCGATTGCATATCGTCCAGCTCCCGTTGGAGAGTATTGAGATCCACAGGTGGTATGCCCTTCGTGAGGTCTTTTTCAAGACTCCACCTCAACCTCGGTTGGTCTTGGCAGGCCTCGGATGATTAGGAGGCAAGGTTGTTTTTGCATTGCGGGTCGACCTATAAGGCTGATAAACTCCCTGGCCTCCTTGGCCTTGATCTTCAGCGACTTTGGCATTGACCTCGCGCTGGAGGCCGTTATTGCCATTCAGACCTGTCCGATCTGCCGACTTGGCGAAGTTAGCTGGCTGAACCATCTCAGATTGGTTTGTGCTTGGGATGACTTAAGTTGTCCGTTCCTCAAGACGACGCCAAATGTTTATGCAATGAATGGCACAACGTCAAACCTTAGTCAACCTCGCACTCGATCCTAGCTCCGACTTGGATCACAATGGGAAAACCTGCACAAGAGGGTAAAATCTCCGACGCTCAAGTCAGTAAGTAACTCAGACTCAATATTAAGTTCGAGGAGAAATTCAATACCCGATGGTGAAATGATGCCCTCTATTTATAGGTTTAGGCTCCGATAGGGATTGCGACAGGCAGTTATCCTGGTCGGAATTGAGGTCGAACCTATCGGCTTGAGCAGGTCAAACCCAGAAAGTTTAACTTGAATATTGATGGCTTAACAAGAGAGATAATGACTAAGTTATCCACCTTGGAAGGTTCCGGGTGGAGCTAAACAAAAGTTTATATGGGGATACTCCCCTAAACGAATCACTGTCCTCCACGTGGCACTCTAATTTCCTTCCCCAAATAGTGTTCAATTTATTTCCGCAACCATTTTAAAGTTTTATGTTAATAAAATTAAGAAAATAATTAAGAAATTTAAACCTATATATACTGAAAATAAACATGAAAATAGTTCAAAAGATGGGAATGATATAGAAAATGTAAAACATTGAAAAATTATAATACATAAATTAATTTAAAATCTAATAACACAATATAACTATTAATGAATGATTTGATTCATATTTTTTTATTTAGGTATAAGTTTTATCATTTTTTCTTTTTAACTTGTTTTATTAATAATGATTTCCATTAATTTTATTTTTTTACAATTATACTAATTATAAATAATAAAATTTATTTAACACTGATGACATTTTATAGAAAAATGGAAATAGATATTTTATAGATTTAAAGCATGTACTAACTTAGTTAAATAAATTGTTTTTGTAATAAATATATAAAATAAAATTTGTTATCATGTGCGTTGCACGTCATGTGGTATTGAAACGCCTATTTTTGTTTTTCATTTATAAATTATTGTTGTCGTTACAAATAGCTAATAATTATTGTATAAGTTCTGTAGAGTGGCGGATCCACGATTTTACGCTTGGGCACAAAGGCATATAAATGTTATGGAAAAATACTAATTTTAAACTTGAACTTGGCCATGTGTATCAATTTGTATCTTACAAAATGTTGTAATTTTTACATATGTTGCAAATTTTACCTTTTGATGAATTTTTATTTGAAAATTTGTTGAAAAAAATATTCTCGTGTGTCAAAAGAAAAAAAAATTGTATGAAATAATTGATAAGATTTAAAAAAAACAATATTAAAGTTGTCTTTTTAGCTTAAATTATAAGTTTTGGGAGATCTAATAACTTTTTGTATACTATTCTAACTTAATTTGACAAACTTGATTTAAATTAGTGAGTTTTTTGAATTTTTTTATTGAATTGAGTCATAAAAATTATGACATTTAAATAAGTTTAGGATTATAATTATTAAAAAAATTATTTTTTTTTTATTAAAAAAACTTAATTAGACATAAAAGTTAAAATTATTTATTTTAAATAAACCATACATTTATCTAAAATATAATATTTAAAAATTAAAATAGGCTTTAGATTTAATGATATCGCAATATTTTTTTTTGAAACACATATCCCAATAAAATTATAATTTAAAAAAGAAAAAATAAAGAAAAAGTGCTAAAAATGCACAATATATATATACACACACGCGCGACCCGTGATTCAAGCTAAAAACATTAAAACATTAAAAGAAATAAAAAAATAAGGTAAAATACACTTTTAGTCCGGAATTTTGAGTTAGGTGTCAATTTGCACTTTAGTCCCCAAAGTTACCGTTAGTTTGACTAACGGAAAAATGACGTGGCATTTGAGTGGTTAATTTTTGGATGAGCTGGTAATTTTTATTAATTTTATATTAATTTAGGTTTAGTTGGTTTTTTTTATAATTATTATATTATTTCTTTTTCTTTCTTTTCCCTCTCCCTCCACTCCCTCTAACTTCTTCTCCCCTTTCTTCTCGGCTAGATTGGCTGACCCATCATCCGCATAAGTCTGTTGGCAGCGACTCTGCCATTGGCATCGTCGTCATTGTCTTCTTCATCTGCTTCCTCATTCAATCAAATTGTCTTTGTCATTGTTCACGCTTGTTTTCTTGGCAGATGAGAGATTTTTCTGAGAATATGTACTCGAGGGTTTTGGAAGTATATGAAACTGATGAACCCAGTTGAAGAAATTAGAGTTTAGAGTAGGGAAGGTCAAAAGAATTGGATGAGGGGAGGCTAGGGGAGGGAAAAAAAGATATTAAAAAACAATAATAAAAAAAGCCAACTAAACCTAAATTAGTATAAAATTAATAAAATAGATTCTCAATTTCTCTCTGGAAATTGTAGAAGGTGGCAGCCGTGGGTGCTGAAGGGGGGTCCTTGGGTGCCGTCGGAGGGTATTTGGGAGGGCTTCTTAGTCAATGTTCTGACATATGGCTGAAGAATTACGGAGTAAGCACGTGGCAAGGCACTTCACGGAGGAGGAGAAGGGTCAACAAATAGATCTGCAAGACAAGGACATCAACTGTTACGAGATAAATTTGGTGAATACACTAGTGTGCAAGATTCTAACGATGAAACGCATCAGCCCGGAAATTTTCAAATCTATGATCATACGGATTTGGGGTGTCGAAGGCATCAAGATCAAGAATGCTGGGCGGAATATCTACCTTTGTCCATTTCGGTACCAGAAGGACAAGCAACAAATTGTTAAGGAAGGACCATGGTTTTTCGATAAATTGTTGTTGCTTTTTGAGGAACCAAAAGCCAATACGAGCATCTCGGAATTGGACTTCAGGTATGTATATTTTTGGATCCATTTCCATGAATTGCCACTTGCAGGATTTTCTAGAAATGTGGCCAAGGCAATTGGAGAAATGTAGGAAAATTCGAGGAGGTGGATAGTGATGAGGATGGACAATGCTTGGGAGAAACGTTGCGCGTTCGGATTACCATTGATATTCGAAAACCTTTGAGAAGAGGGGTGCTGTTGAAGGTCGGATCAATGGCGGATGAAAAATGGATCCCCATCACATATGAAAAACTCCCCGACTTTTGTTATGGGTGTGGCAAGCTAGGACATGTTGTTAAAGAGTGTGACGTACATGTTCCTGTTAGTGATACTCCTTACCAGTATGGAACGTGGTTGCGGACTCCAAATTCAACCAGACGCCCACGCGAAGGGAGGAGCTTTGATCATAAACATTGGAGAGGTCGTGAAAGGGGACGCAACCAAGGATATTCTTGGGCGAGAGACGGGAAGGAATCAGAGAGGACACAGCGGTTGAGGTGTCATCAGATCTCAGAGAAAGTTCCGGCAAAACTCATAAGATTCCAACATTAAAGGGAAAGAGCCATTCACGGGGAACGGTTTGGAAAGTATGGATCCACTAATAAATGCACAACGGAAACAAATTAATGGAGAAGATAACCAAATCGAGGATTTTGTGGACCTGGGAGAAAAATCAACTATTTTGGTGGGTGAGAAAGTTTCTTTTGACCAGGTTGTTTTTAAAAGCCCAAACTGGGAGGATAAACTGATTAAACCGAACCAACTGGGTTGGAGTACTAACAAGGATGAACCGTTGGATCAAACCAGAAAACCGAACCGTTTATTCTACATGGAAAAACCGAACCAGTGGTCCACTCAAACCTAGCGAAAGGCTCCCAACCCATCTCAAATACTACAGGTCCCACGATTAAGGGAGACCATGACCGGCAGGGGACTAGCATGAAATCTACTTGGAAAAGACAGAATCAAATTGTGACTGGAAATCAGGGTGGTGGGAGGCCACTTATTACTATTGGGTCTCAATTAACAAGCAAGAAGCTGAATTTGGATCATGATGATGAGAATAGCTACAACAAAAAACACTGTGTGGATTCAGATGGATGCAATAACACTCAATCGGTGGAGGCTGTGGATCAGTCCCACCGACAACAATGAAAATCCTAAGCTGGAATGTTCGGGGTATGAGAAACCCCCAAACATTAAGAGCACTACGACATCTAGTGCGTAGTCTTAATCCCCAGCTGATGTTCCTGATGGAAACCAGATGTAAAAACAAGTTGGAAGAGAAATTGAAAAGAGAGTTAAATTATGCGTCTAGTATCTGTGTTCCGAGTAACGGCAATAGTGGAGGTCTGATGCTCCTGTGAAATGAGGAGACTGATCTTTCTTTGCGATCCTTCTCTTCAGGACACATTGATACAGTCATTAAAGAAGGTTGTGGGTGGTGGCGCTTTACTGGATTTTATGGGCATCCTAATCAGGAGAGACGAAAGGAGTCTTTGGACCTTTTGACAAGATTAAATAATATTTCACATTTACCTTGGATTATAGGAGGAGACTTTAATGAGATTTCTTCACAAGACGAGAAGAAGGGTGGTCCTCGTCGCCGCAGTTGTCTTATTCAGAATTTTAGACATGTGATTGACCATTTTAGTTTGCTAGATACAGGTTATCGAGGTGATGCTTTTACCTGGTGTGATGGGCGATTTGCAACCCAACCAACTTGGGAAAGGCTTGATAGATTTCTCATCAACACCGAAATGTGTCAACGATTTGCAGATAGAGGTAAGTCACCTAAATTTTATGGCTTCGGATCATAGACCGATTCTTGCGAGCTGTAGTAGCCTTGCAATGGTTGATCAAGTTCCTACCAGGAAAAATAAGATTCTTAGGTTTGAGGAATGTTGGGTGCTGTCAAGTGACAAAGGGCCAAAGCCAATCCAATCGGTTTTTCAGGAGAAGTTGGCTTGTTGTTTGTGCATGTTGATTAACTGGAAGAAAGCTTTGCTGGGAGGATCCATTAGGAGGGCAATTGGGCGAAAAGAAAAGGAAATACAGGAGATCATTAGGAGCAACGCCAGAACTTGAAAGTCTGATATGGTTGCGGCTGAGCATGATCTTGAAAAACTCCTTGAGGAGGATGAAATATATTGGAAACAAAGAGATCGAGAAGATTGGCTCCAATGGGGTGACAGGAATACGAAATGGTTTCATTTGCGGGCAAGTCATCGAAGAAAGAGAAACAGAATTACGGGTCTTAGGGATGATAATGGTGTGTGGACCAGTAGTCATGAGGATTTTGAGAGGATAGCTTCGTCGTACTTCCAGAATCTGTTTTCCTCAGACTGCCCATCTCAGGCGAATATAGATGTTATTTTAGAAGCAATTCCCACTACCATATCTGAGGATCAGAATAGGGAGCTTACTCGTGTTTTTACCCCGGAGGAAATCAAAAACACTATTAAAGGGATGCATCCCACGAAGGCTCCTAGTCCAGATGGGGTGAATGCTCTTTTTTATCAAAATATTGGGATATTGTAGGAGAGGAAACAACTCAGCTCTGTCTAAACTATCTTAACGGCAGTGGTACGATTTCTGAGATAAACAAAACGTACATTGTGCTTATTCCAAATATCAAAGCCTTCCAGCATGAAAGATTTTTGCCCTATTAGTTTATGCAATGTGGTTTACAAGATAATTGCTAAAACTCTAGCTAAGAGGTTGAAAAAGGTGCTAGATGGGGTCATTTCTCAGTCCCAATCCGCTTTTGTTCCTGGTTGAATCATCTCAGATAATGCTATTATTGGCTTCGAGTGCATTCATACCCAAAATAATAGAAGATCTGGGAAAGAGGGGACTATTGCGCTAAGGCTTGATATGTCTAAAGCCTATGATCGAGTGGATTGGAATTATATCAAACAGGTGATGATTAAAATGGGCTTTTGCGAAAGATGGGTCAATCTAATTATGCAATATGTGGAGTCTGTACAATTTACCGTTCTTATCAATGGAGAGCCTGGACAACCTTTCTCGCCCCAAAGGGGACTGCGTCAGGGAGATCCCTTATCCCCTTATCTATTTCTTTTTTGTGCAAAAGGGCTTTCTGCTCTTCTGACTGAGGAAGAACAAAAACGCCATTTTTCTGGATTACATATTAATAAGCATTGTCCCACTATAACACATCTTTTTTATGTAGATAACAACCTAATTTTCTTCAAAGCAGCCAGGAAAGATTGCCAGACGCTAAAAGGAATTTTCAATGCCTATGCTAAAGCATCGGGTCAAGTGATCAACTTTGATAAATCACAATTCACGGCCAGCAAGAATACTAGTTTGGGAATTATTGAATATATCAAGAGCGAGCTAAATGTAACCTTCACTGAGCACCTGGGGCAGTACCTGAGACTTCCGTCTCAAATATCTCGTAACAAATGTCAAGTATTTCAAGCTATTAAAGATAGAGTGTGGAAAGTGTTACAACGGTGGAAGGAAAAACCTTTTTCGATAGGAGGAAAGGAGGTCCTAATAAAAGCAGTTGCACAAGCCATCCCAAATTACACAATGAGTTGTTTCAAGCTCCCGATGACTCTTTGCAATGAGATTAACGGACTTTATCGGTGCTTACCATTTGGGTATGGGTGCTATTGGGGAAGGAGAAGCTTCTTCCTCTAGTAATGATAGACAAAGACGAATGTGGAAGTCTCTATGGTCGGCTAAAGTTGCCCCAAAAATTAGAATTTGCTGCTGGAAACTTATAAATGATATTCTTCCTTCCAAATCTAATTTAATTAAGAAAGGAATTCGAACTGATATGTGCGTTTTGTGAAGGAAGCATGAGGAGTCCATAAAGCACCTACTTTGGGAGTGTAAGCTAACAAAAAAATGTGGAGATATTTTCTAAATTCAAATGTTATGTCATGTGACTCTGACAGGCACTCATGGTCGAATATGGACTTTTGGGACTACATTTTGGACAACATCAAGCAACAAGAGTTAGATGGACTTTTGGGACTACATTTTGGACAACATCAAGCAACAAGAGTTGGCTACTGTGATGATTGTGGCTTGGCAAATTTGGACCTACAGAAACATAGTGATTTTTGGAGGAGAACAACCAGACAATCTCAGACTCCAATCTCAAATAAACAAGCAGATTAATATTCAGGGTCAAGGTGATGCATCGGGTCAAACAAATGGAACTGACGGACAAAGCCTCCCAAATATCAACATGCAAAATCATCAACATTTCGAGGGGCAAAGACAAACCTCTATTCTTGTTCGTTGGCAGCCTCCTCCTCGAGATTCTTGGAAGATTAACATGGATGCATCTTGGTTTGATCCACAACAGAGGGGTGGTCTCGGATGGGTTATTCGAAATTGGAAAGGAGAAATTCAACAAGCAAGAAATATTTTTGTCCAAAATCAATGCAGTATCAAGAATTTGGAAGCTCTGGCTATGTTGGTAAGCCTTCGAAGGCTGGAAATCAAGAAGGGAAGAATATTTACCTTGAAACGGACTCGTTGGAAGCTGAATCGTTGGTGGCAAACAGAGATTCGGACCTTACCGAGCTTTTCTGGATTGCTGAAGAAATTCGAACACTAATGGAACTGAAATCGGTGGTCACTCTACGCTCGATTAACAGGGAAGAAATTTGAACACTAATGGAAATGAAATCGGTGGTCACTCTACGCTCGATTAACAGGGAAGCCAACAAAATTGCGATGCAATATCTCGGACGGCCATGGCTGAAGATTCTATGAAAGTCTGGGGCTTTGGGTTCGAAGATTTCTCTCAGTGGCTTTCTCGTTTAGTTGAAACTGATTTGTTAATTGCCTTTATTTTATTTTGTTTCAAAAAAAATATAAAATTAATAAATTGAGATCAGGAATTAAAAGTGTTTTTATCTAAAAAAAATAAATAGAGTGAGGGAGAGCGATTCAAACTCAAGAAACGAAGGAAGGGAAAGAAGTCAAGGGTTGGGGGAGAACCATCCATGCAAACAGAGAATTGATTAAATATTTGAGTACTATAATATATTTTTCTAAAATCCAAGGGGGCACGTGCCTCCCGGCCCTCACGTGGATCCGCCCCTGCGGTGCAGGCACATATATATATTTTTTCCCTCTTTAAACCATTGTTTTTTATATCCAGTTCTTATTTTAAATGCATTTTAATTTCAATTTTGCATAACTTATCGAAGTTGATATACATCTAATCTATATATGATATATATCGGATGTATATTTGTATTTGATATACATCCAATCTATATCTGATGTACATTCGATATAGCTCTGATATACTTTTGATATACATCTGATGTACCCCTTAATCTGGTCAATACAAGGGTATCATGAAAATAGTTTAAACTTGTAATCAAGCTAAACTCCCTCGATTCAAATCTTACAAAGTTCTCATTTATATTGAATATTAGTGTATCTTCGGCAAACTTTTAAAGATTTCTATTTGGGTTGGTGCTAGCATCTTGATAATATTATTTATTATTTCTAATATTGTTGCACTTTTGCATCAAAATGCCATATTTCATTATTATGTTAAAGTAAAATAAAAATTATATAAGATGTAAATAATATTATCGCATTAATAGTATATCAGACAGTCATATCAGTAGTATATCAAACAATCATTTCAATAGTATATCAAACACTCATATCAGTAGTATATCAGACACTCATCTAAACAGTACATCGCATGTATATCAGATATACATATCAGTAATATATCACACACTCATATCAGTAGTATATCACATAGGATGGGGAAATCGAAACGTAGGTTTTCTAGGCTTGAGTCTGCAGGACAATGTTGTCATTTAATATGTGGGTC